GAGAGAGAGAGAGACGAGCGAATATGTACGCACTAAGATGCATCGCATGAATCGGCACGTACAAATGGTGTCTAACAAATGCAATTAGCTCAATTAGTTCACCGCGCTCGCGCTCCGTTTTGTTCAATTCGTGCACCGCCTCGCGATTCGAAATTGCTCGATCATGCGTAAGTTTCGAATATGATTCGCGTATCCTACTCTATGACGAATGACGATGAGCAACGCGCGACAAAACGCTAAACGTGATTTGAAGGTTCTATGCTAATACCGCCAGTCACATGTTACGCGCACGTCATTAAAACAAAACGCGAGTGTTTGATGAAAAGGAGAAACATAATAAAAATAAATATATAAAATATATAAAAATAATATATAAAGTATGTAACGTATGTAGAATAGAAATATATAAAAGGGAAAAGAAAAAGAAGATATCTTTTGAATCTTGAAGTAAAAAAAATGTAATTACAATTACTCGCTCTTATGTGCATTTCCTTTTTATATGTATATTAAATTAATATTTTTTTTTTTTTTATATATTTCATTTTTCTCGTAAAGAAACTTAATATTGACAAATATATGTGTTATAAGTAGAAAATGGAAATACTCGGTTAAACGCACAAACTCCATGTTTTAGAATATATTAACCCGGGTGAACTTTATTATATAAGGCACGCGATTATTCAATCGCGATCGAAATCACGTCTCGTCACAAAAGAGTCTGCGACGAATCAACTGTACAGGATGTCCCAGACCTTTCACCTTTGGATTCTTTGACCAATTTGGAAACTTTGGAACTTGGCTCTTTCTCGGCAATAATATTGAAGAAGCTCATCGTATTTATCGTGCCGCTGTACAATTAAATATCTCTGTAATTAATCCGCTCGTTGCAAATCTGTTCCTGTTTGAGGCTTAATACAGAACAGAATTTTGCGTAAGGTTGCGTAAAACTTTGTTGACTTTAAAAAAATTGCCAACACAATTAAATATCTTTGTAATTAATCCGCCCATTGCAAATACGTTTAATACACAATAGAATTTTGCATACGCTTTTAAAAACTTTGTTCTCGAACAACTTTTTCTTTTCCATTATTTATAATACTCGATATCGAAAACGTTTTAAATTCTTCCTTACAATAAAATCAATCATAAAAGAAGAATCGTAGGCGAAAGTGAACGAGTCTGGGATATTTCCGTAGGATATTTGCGGATAAATTATCGGACGTCAAGCGCGATCGATCAATCGCTTATTATGATGTAACTATACGATGTACGAGTTTCGCAATTCGCCGTAGCACGTGAGCGTTAAAAAAAAAAAAAAGATCTCCTTGTATATCGAGTTAACACGCATCGTTTTCCCGTTGCTTATATACCACTCGCCGTTCCACAATGCAACTTAGTATATACCTGCGAGAAGCGACTGGAGCATGTCGTTAACGTAACACACATAATAGGAGGATACTAAATGGGCCCAGGCGTGATGAGGAAACGAATTCCTAAGGGTCTCTTCGCGAAAAGATATTTTCGCGACGTTTTCCCATCGCGGACCGTTATTTGCCGAATAACCGGTGGGATTCCGATAGGAAAACTTATCTTTATACATTATTTTCGGAGCTCCCGAAAATCACGTCACGAGCCGAAAGTCATTTCGAAGATCCGCCACTGAGCAAATTTGATTGCGCAAAGAGGATTTAATCTAATCTCTCGCTGTTGTCGAGGAGCATTTCGCTAGTGCCCTCGCACTCCATTTAATCGCAGCGTCGCGGTGCGATGACGCGGAATCGATCGCCGATCTCGATAAAGCCGCGAAAAGGAGTAGTAGGTCTCTCTCTACCTGTCTCGGATACCTCGAAATCGCGTCCACCGGATAGCTAGAATAAATAGATAACAAAATATCGATATCTTTTGTATATTGCGGAGGCAAGATAATTTTTTTAGATCGGAAAGTTTCTAGAAAGAGAACATCATATTTTTTTTTTTTTTTGAACAAAATCGTATTTATTTTTTAACGTAGTCTCCTTTGAGATCGATTAGATTAGACATTTAGTCCAAGATCTTTTCAAGATCTTTCATTCTTTCGATAAAATAAGATTTATCTAAATCTTCGAAATATATTCCATTCAATTTGAATAGAGAAATATTTGAAGAAAATTTGTTTCTGTCTAGTTATTTCTTCGAGAAACTTTTTTCGGAAAACAGAAAAAAGTTACAGAAGGCCAAATCTGATGCATTTTCAAGCTTATCGAAAAGAAATATTTTCACCGTATAATATTCGATTTTTTTCATGATTATAAAGAAATAAAAATTGTGTACTTTGATCGATTATCAGCTATATACCACGTGATCGTTTGAAAGAGTTCTTTCGATACATGCCAGTACAATGTCGTTTTTTGGATCGTCTAGAAATTTTCTGATCTATCTTCATATGTGTTGATGACTTTGTATTAAGCTTTATGTGGCAGTAAATTATCGTTTAGACTGTAATAACGCGAAATCAATGATTACAACCGACATTCCGTTTAATTACCAGCTGTGTATAATTGATGCACGGTGTCTAAGTTTGGCCGATGATTCATCGTGCAACTGAACTCGCGTGGACGACAATGCAACTTATCTTATTTTCATCGATAGTACCAGGGACGAGTTCATCGACGAGTTGGAATTAAAAATCCTTCGATGACAAATAATTATCCACAATTTACCGCGGAATCTACCGCTTGAGTCTTACATTTTTCTAAATTTTTTCCGCTACCAATTTTCATATATAATTTTATATATAATTTTCATATATACATTTAAATATTAGCGAGTAATATTCTAATATATTCCAAAATCACTCCAATCAATGTTTACAAAAATAATTTGAAAGAAGTTTTATTTATAAGAAAAAAAAAAAAAGATTCAACACAATAAAATTGAATATTTAATGTTGTTCGATTATGTATACGTGAAGTAAGCTTCAAAATTCAAAGGGCAGAAAAGTCGAAAGAAACTAGGGAGACGTCGAGAAGTGTCTCATTGTTAAAAAGTGAGAAAAGCGATAATCTCCGTGGCTCTGGTGAAAACGAAGCGATTTTCTGGCTCCGACCCAGAATCACGGCCGCTCTATTTTACCGGCGATATTTTTGGAGCTTGGGAAATTTAACAGAATTATATCATGCGAACACCACGATCCCCCTTCTCCTGAGAACATTATGGTTCTCATGTTTCCGAGGGGTCTATCTCTCGCCGCTTCCAGCAGAAAAATTAATGATTGTTAATGCTCGCGGAAAAGTGACATTTTCAATCTCGTTTGTAATAACTCGCGAAACGAGTTTGCAAAGTCGACGAGAAAGATAAAGGCACGATCGGAATACTTTCTCGAGGAAAGATCGATTAGCCGTAGTTTCCACGAAATCGCTATGCCACGAGATCGACACGTTTTCTCGTTAGATTTTCCTATCTTAGACACGCAACATTGACACCGGCAGATTTAAAGATACATACATTTTTTTTTTTTTTTAATAGATAGCACAATCTTTGAATGGCTGTAAGGCTCGAGAAAAATTTGTTGATTTTTCCTCTCTCCCGTCTTTGGGAAAGAGGGAAAACATCAACAAAAACGTTCAAGAGTACAAAATTTTGTATAAATTTTAATAGAATGCAAATTATGTAACGCTGATAGAATCGGGTATTAACATTTTTGTTTTTATCATGAATATATACAACGTATGACATTGATATGCATTTCGTGCTTAGCCATCATTAGGACAAGTATCGATTCGGCGCGGTTCCAGATACAGATTTCTGAAAAGCTGTAAAAATTCACATTCGTCGATGCAAATTTTCGATTCGAGTAGGCGCACAATTGCCAATTGTTCTTAAAATTTCGAGGAGATTTCCGAAGAGGCTTCATTAACGACCATTCGAATCGAGAGCTATACCAAAATAGAATCTCGTTCCAACTTGCAATCTCGACGCAAGGAAAAGATATTCTCGGGAATCATTTCGCTCTTGATTGATCCCATCGCGTGAGCGACTCTACTCCTCACGTGGGACATGGATCATTAATAATTTTATCGTGAATAACAAAAGAGCCAAGGATTCGCGCTCGACTGGAATGTGACGTCGAACATTGTCTTGTGCGATAAGAGACCGAAGAAAAAAAACGCGCGACTCGCGCTATATCGGCTATACACCGTATTATCTCATTGGCAATTTTTAGGTATGACGATAACGGTGACTTGCAACGATTATACGTCGCGCTTCCATAAGTTGCGAGCTACTTTACATGACATCAACCTGAATTATGCTAATATTAAGCCGTGGTAGCCGGTAGCCGTGGTAGTGGGTATATTCGATTCTCGGGTCTCCAAGGCAACTCCAAACATCATCGGTGTCACATCCGTCGTTCCGCGGAAGCCCGTTGGACTTTCCGACGAGCGGCGCGCGAGTTACATTTTGCCGCGAGCGCGAGCCTACAAAATCTACGAGACGAATCAACGATCATTCGTCGTGTCGGGCAAAAGCGGGCAAGACGAAATTGGAAATTTGCACACTTACGGTACGACGGTTAACGGGCGATATCAAGCAAAGCCCGGAGCAAAGAGACCTGTGAAGTCATTGTACTTACGTAAGCGCGCGTGTTTCGCATCGACACGGCGGTGCGGGCCGTACGATGTCAAGCCGTTCGATCGTCGGATTTTTCCAAGGCGCGATCTTCTCACGAGGCACGAGACACCTTCCAACGCAACCGTGATCACGATCACGAGATGGGTGACACACGAGCGAATCAAAGTTCAACGTGCGGCATCGCGACCGCACGAGCCACGCAGATCATCCTCCTATTGCTGCGAGCCACGCCGGCCGACTGCGAAAGTTCGCGCCGACGTCCGACCGTCGTCGTAGCCCCTCGGCCATTGTCGTGCACACGTGAATTTCGCGCCGCGTTCAACGGCGAAATCCGATTGGTCGAGCGTGCCCGGCGCGAAAACTTCAAATCGGAGATTTTTAATCGCGCACGACCGTACTTAGCCCCTTCCCCCCCGTTCCTCCGTAACGCCGTGGATCGTCGTTAGGATCGTTAAACGTTTCGAGCTGATTTTTTTTTCATACCGATATTTGTGCAGAATTAGCAAAATTGTCGCTGCTACTTGCGATTTTTGTTCGTCGATTTGAAATTGATTTTTTTCTTTTTAAATTATTGATCGCTAAAATCCTATAGATGAATTATAAAAACGTCGCGTATTTCATTTGTAAATTTTAAAGACCTTTTAGATTGGCAGGGGAAATTTTGGACAAATGAAAAATGATGATTGTAATTAAAATTTATAATATAGATTTCTATCGAATACTATCGTTTAATAAAACGGAAATGTCACCAACGCTGACTAATGCTGACTGAATGCAAGCTCGTACATTTCTAGGCACAGGATATATGTTTATCGCGTAGGTAGGCGTTAGTGGAACTGGCTTGGAAAGTTGCATAAGGACAGATACAGCTTATAAGTAAAAGTATGCACGATCGTATTTTGTATATCAAAAGAGAGGGACTTGTAAGCATTCACAAATTAAACCTAAATCGATAAAATATTGTCGAAATATTTATAACTATTTTTTTCATTCTCAATCACATATCTCCAAATATAATTCTCAAACTTTTTTTATTAAAAAAAAAAAAAAAAAAAAAAAACTAGGATCACAACTTAAGCACAGCGTTCAATAAAAAGTTCTACGATAACGCAAACTTAGAGTCGCAATGCTATTTTATCCGTATGATGTAATTCACATTTATATGCCAATAACGAATCATGATATAGAAATGCGGAATTGCAGAAGCTGCTGTTAGAATTTAATCTTTTTTTCTTGATATTCTCTTCGTGTCACGGTTATCGCATAGTGTTGCGAAAATAAGGCAATAATCTCAATAAACGCGATATCTATGCACCAAGTGTATTTCGATCGATGACAACGACGTGACATCGAGAATGAAACGCTACGACCAACATAGGATATGGACTTTGCAAATTTGCAATTAGCAATCCAAGTACGCGCATGTTGAAAGAAACAAGGTTTCAGTTATACGTTTCAACTTCATAAAGTGTAATCTGAGAAATTTTACGGATGTGAGAAAGTCAGATGCAAATGATTTATCCTGTACTATATCTCGATTCAATTCTATACTGATTACATCGGCAAAGATAAGATAGCACTTATCGTGCAACTTTATTCAGTTCGTTCATAATATTCGTAGACGTTTAAACCTATTGAAATTTATGCAACCTAAGATAAAAATTTACAATTTGCAAGAAAATTAGTCTTTTTATGTGACGTATATTATCTATTGATGTCTATCTATTGATCCCTGATGGAAATATTTTGCTGAAATTCTCTTTCAATTGACTTCATTTTATTATTATCTTATCGATATACGTAATTTTCAGTAAATTTCATGATGAATATTTTAAAAAATTTTAACGGTATTCTCTAACTCTCTATATTTCATAGTATTACATTGAATTTTTCGAAAAATGTGATAGTACAATATGAAATCGATGAAAAATAAAATAATAGTTATTGAAAAATTACTGAAAATATTTCAAAATGATCCACAATTTTCCTTATGAGATGTAATGTTGTGAAATGTAAAGAAAGTTAATGTATACTATTGAAAAATAATAAAAATATTTTGAAATGATAATGAAATAGAGTCAAGTGAAAGAAAATTTCAGCACAAAATATTTCCAGTAGAGTGAGTTTCAAAAAATTAACAAAATAAACTGATAGACCTAATGTTACGTCTGAGATGCCCTGAGATGGATCCGTAAATCTTTTGAAATCATTAGACTTTATTATCCTATAATTCGAGCATTGTGTGTGAGCATAATGGAGCTGGCTTTCAAGAGTAGCTGCGCAATGAAACTCGCTATTGAAAATAATTATGAGATTATACGATGCTACGAAAAGTTTACCGCAAAGGATTCTTTCATCCCTTTGACGATTGATTTAATATCGTGACCTTGATAAATAAAAAAAAAGAGATTATATCACATATAATAAATCTTGTATCTTATAACAAAGTTACCAATATTAATCAGTACAGTAATTATTTATTTTTTATATAAAAAATATCATAGGCTTGTCGATTGTAATCTTTTTTATTATCGAGAAATAATTAATATAATTGTCTTATTGCGTTTTTTTTTTTTTTTTTGTAATAAAATTATTACAAAGACCGCAATATTTTAATAAAGCACCTTACGAGATGACCTATTTTCGATTTAGATCAAGTGAACTCGACAAATCAACAACGTTAGAAGTGAACCATATGATTGATGGCACGCTGCGCGACATAAAAAGCGCAACAATAGAAATTGCCGATTGTTCACATTCGATTGATAGTCTTCATCTAAATAAAAAAATGTCGTATTTCTAAAATGGCGAAAGATCGTTGCAATAATCCAGGGCAGGCGCACACAAATTCTAAATCTTTCGTGCAAAAACTGTGTTGCACTAATAATTCTTATATAACAATGATTCGAAATCGAGAACTCCGCTCCGTTGCGCGAATACGTGACTCCGTCGTGTATATATGTATATCCATGGTAAATGGCTCGGTAACTATGCAAATTTAAGTGCAGGAAGATCCATTCGTTTGTTAAACGTGAACGAAGGCCTCACACCGCGTTAACCCACGCAATTTTTTTATTTTTGCGTTGCGTGAAGTGAAAGCGTAAGAAAATCCCGATTAATCCCGATTAAAGATGAACCACGTGATTCTCGGTTCAAAATTTTATAAGTTTCAAAGACTTGAAGTAAGAACAAAATTAAATGTAGGGGGAAAATTGTTCATTATGGTTGTTTTGGTTCGGACATAATACAAGATAATACGAGAAACTAGCGTAACTCCAAATAAAATCCTTTTCCTTCCAGAATGTTATAGAGGAAATTGTTGTATAGAAATATTAAGAATGCAGGAAATTAACGATATAGTTTTGGAGGAAGAACAAGAAGATATAAATGAGCAGGAAGATCAATCGGAAGAAAGATCAACGGAAGACGAGATACGAATGATTAAAAAAGCAAAAGAATCTAAAAAGGATGAGGAAATAGATGAAAAAATTGTAACATTTTTGCATGAAAAAGGTTTGAGTGAAAATCTTATCAAGACATTGATTAAAAATGATCTTACAGATGAACATATCAGGTTAATTAGAATTATTAAATTTTAGATATTCTTTGTATTGTAAATAGAATTGTAGTTGAACCAAAATATAAAACAAATTTTACCATTATATAATAATTAATTATTAAATGTTAAAAGAATATAATAAAATGTTAACAAATGATACGAAGAAATTGATATCTTGTTTTTTCCATTTCTTCTTTCCGATTTTCTTATTTTCTTTATATTTTTAGATTTTTGAAAGGGTTAAATTTAAATGACGACAACATTGACTATTTGCAAGATTTATGGAAAACAAAGATCGAAATTAATAAAAGCAGCGGCAGTTCTATTAATTCCATCACATCTAGCAATTCATTGTCCAACGATTACATTCAATTGTCACCGAACAGTCTTTATCTAAAAAAAGTTTTAAGTAAACCCTTGATCCAAGCTTTATGTGACATTGTGGCAAAGAAACCGAGCGACCCCATCGAATATTTAGGCCACTGGTTACTTCATTACAAAGTTTGTTAATTTTAAAATATAAAAATTTTCTATTACATTATTAATTATTAATTACAAACAAAAAAGATATAAAATTACTAAAAAAATTTATTTATATTTATCTAAGATATTCTTATCTTATTTTTATAAATATAGATAGATAGATAGATACTTAGACTTAGATTTTTTATTTCAAAAAAAAAATAAATTTTAGATTTGTGAAGAACGGGCTATACAGCAGAAAAAGCGCGAATTAGAGCTCTCAATCGATAGAGAAAAGTTGGATTTAAAAGTATGCGTAATACTTTATATATTTTACCAATATTGGTAAATTATATTTGATTTTTATTTATCAAATTTTCTTCATATGGATAGGACATTGAAGAAAAAAAAAGTATTCTTACCGAACAGAAGGAAGACGAAGACGAATATAGCGAGGATCACAATTTTTTTGATTATGGCGAATAATATAAATTAACCATCAATTATTTACAAGCAGTCTTTTCAATAGACCATAAAAATGCGAAGATTAAATAATTCGAAATAAATTTTGATGAATATATACATATGTTGATGATAATGTTATATCTGAAAACTAATTAGATAAGTTAGATGATACATTTCTATTAACAATTATGTCGCGTCATCTAGCGGAAAACTTTTGTATTAAATTGAAATTGCGTGAATATAAGCACGTATTCTAGAAAATTTTTTCGCAACAATTTACCAGCCTGATTTCATGTTTTGAATGCGTTTCTTGAGAAATTTGCCAATGAAAGAACTCAATGTTACATATTCTTATTTTTCGTTTTTAATGCGGGATCTACAATGCGAGAAAAGAATATATGATTTTTTTCTGCCTATATTATTATGTTTAATATAAAGAATATCTAAAATTGACCGCATTGATCTAAAGATCCTGCATTAGCTAAACATTTCTTTTTTTCTATGACATAAAGAGAAAAAAAGATGAATAGTGCAAATATCGCTCAATTGTCCATCCTATTGTCGAATGGCTAATTTCAAATTAAAATTTTTTTATTGGTTAATTCAGTGGAACAACTCCAGGACTCAGCACTGGATCAACTAAACAAAAAATTTTGTTTTAAATTAACCAATCAGCAACGGGCAATCGGATATCACCAGAAAAAGAGAAATGTTTCTCTTTCCAATCTTTCACGGACATAATCGTATCTGTATTGCTAATCTATATATATATATATATATATAAGTCTATGGCAATTACCAAAGTTTATTAAC